GAGCTACTCTGGAGGTTTGGGTGGGAAGATCACATGAGCCTGGGAGGTCAAGGCTGCAGTGAGCTGAGATCGTCCCTCTGCACTCCAGCCTGGGTGACAGAATGAGACTGTCTCAAAAAAAAAAAAAAAAAAAAAAAGGAATGAAATTACTTATAGGTATTCAGCTGGTATGGATGATTGTTATATGCTTTTCAATAAAAGGGGTAAGAATTTTCACCTAAATTTTTCATAAGTTGAGAAAATTATCACCAAGGAAATATGGTTACTTGATGGAATTGACACACAAGATATGGTTTCACCCAAGACAAAACATGCTTAGAAATTGACAACTGAGTTTGAAGGGAATGTTGTATTTCCATAAAACACATCACATGCAGTGTATTAACAAATGTAAAAATGAGAAATAGGAACATTTGCCCTTTCTGCCAAATCTACCAGTAGTGACTTTCATATGGAAAAATGACAGTTCGCAGCTTCACTGGTTCTTCCTTTTCTTTCCATGTGGAAATGATTACCTTTTTGCTGTTTTTCTTATCAACTGTTGCTATGATTTAAAATACTGAACCATATCTTATTTCTAAGGAATGTAAAAAGTGGTCTGTTCTGCTGCTAAAAGGCACACCCCACTGCTGCATTTCGTCAACCCAAGTATACTTGAAAAATAATTAGATCATAATTTTTACAAAACAAGTTAAAATAATTGTTTAAGCATTGAAGAGATCCAGACTGAAACAATTTCCCAGACTAAACCAGCATTCATGAAGATCTGTAACTATCTCACTACGCCTTAATCCAATTCTGAGGAAACTTGCTAGAAGTTAACTTGAAAGAAAGTCATAAGTTGGAGTCGTTTGATATTTGAGAAAATTCATGAGGTACCAATAGGGGCAAGTATATTTCTAATTTGGCAACTCATGGAATCATTAGCAGGTGAATATTAGAAGCAAACCGCAACTAGACAGAGCTCTGGGTCCATTTACTCATGCTATTTGACCCCCTCTTTTTTTTTTTTTATGATCCACAACTGCATTATTTGATACATATGGTTACCTACGGCTCACTGCAACCTCCACCTCCCAGGTTCAAGCATTCCTCCTGCCTCAGCCTCCCAAGTAGCTGGGACTACAGGCATCTGCCATCCCACCTGGCTAATTTTTTGTATCCTTAGTAGACAGGATTTCACGATGTTGACCAGCCTGGTCCTGAACTCCTGACCTCATGATCCGCCCACCTTGGCCTCTCAAAGTGCTGGGATTACAGGTGTGAGCCACCATACCTGGTCTTTATTTATTTATTT